TGGCTTAAGAACACGTGTAGTTTAAGATTTAATGGACTTAGTCACAAAATATTACACAAGTGCCAAAGGTACGGTGGAAACCACCCTCCCACTCCTATTTCTACTCACTACTCATTTCTTCTTCCCAGAGATAACCAGTGTTACCTGTTTCTTCTGTATCCTCCCAGAAATTGTCTGTGCGCGTACAATGAATAGCTAGCTCTTTCCCCCCAAACTTTTTATTTTGAAACATGTCAGACCAGCAGAACATCGCAACTGTAGGACGATGAACACACACATGTATCCTTCATCTAGACCCGTACTGTCATTTAATGGGGTAGCTCCAGCAATGTGTGGCTATTGTGCACTGAAATGTGGCTGGTGCAGATTTAGATGTTCGGCAAGTGTCCAATATACACTGGATGCTTAAACCTTAATATGAAAAAAAGAAATGTAAAATATTTCATTAATACATTTTACATTTTAAAGTGATAATAATTGGACATACTGGGTTAACATATTAACATAAGTTCAAGTTATTTCTTAATGTAGCTACTAGATATTTAAAACTATATATATATATAATTATTTCTTACAGTACTTATCTAGGCTTACCAAATTGTTGATCTTTTTTCCTCTTTGCTCTTTCAATGTACTTTTTATCTGAGCCATTTGAGGTTAGTTGCGGGCAACATGAGGCTTCACTTCAACTAAGAGCAAGCAATATAATTATCATACTCAGGAAATTTAAGTTGAATTCCAGATTGTTATTTATTATGGAGCCAATAATCAAATTTTCCAGTTGTCCTAATAGGTGTTTGTAGCATCCTTTCTAAATCTAAAACAGTTCCCACAGCCTTCCTTTTTCTCTTTTACAACATTGATCTTTTTGAATAGTGGAGGACAGTAGTTTAAGAAAGTGCCCCAATTTAGATATTTTAAATATTTCTTTTGGCAGGAAAACTCTTCTAAGTAAAATGTGTTTTTCTCAATGCATTATATCAGATTGCACATAATTCCAATGTATTATATTATCTGTAACAACTAGGTGTGGTAGGCAAAATAATGCTCCCCCAAGAGATATCCTAATCCCCAGAACAAGTGAACATGTAAAACACAGCAAAATAAACCTTATTGGAGGAGATTATCTCAGATTACTGGGCGGGGGGACCCCAAATCATCACAAGGGTCCTTATGAGTGAAAGGAGGCAGCCAGGCTCGGTGGCTCAGCCTGTCATCCCGCACCTTGGGAGGCTGAGGTGAGTGAATTGTCTGAGTCTGCGGGTTCGAGACTCGCCTGGGCAACTTGGCGAGACCTCATCTCTACAACAAATCAAAAAATTAGCGGGGTGGTAGCGCATGCCTGTAGTTCCAGCTACTTGGAAGGCTGAGGCGGAAGGATCGCCAGAGCCCAGCAGATCGACGCTGTGGTGGCCGGGAGCGGCCACTGCACTCCAGTCTGGGCGACAGAGTGAGACTCCAACTCAAAAAAAAAAAAAAAAAAATAGAAGGGGGCAGAAAAGTCAGTGTCAGAGTGATGTGATGTGCAAAAGACTCAACTAGCCTTTGCTACCTTCAAAAATGGAGGGCAGGGACCCACAAGCCAGGGAATGCAGGTGTTTCCTTTTCTCCCCAGGGCTTCCAGAAAGAAAGCAGCTCTGCCAACACCTTGATTTTAGCCCAGTGAAGTCTATGTTGGACTTCTGCACTACATAACTGTAAGATGATAAATTTGTGTTGCTTTAAGCTGCTAATTTTGTGGCAACATTTACAACAACAGGAAACTACTATAGTAAATTTGAGCGATGTCTACGATAATTCTCTATTGTAAAGGAACCTCTTATACTTGTTATTAACAAGTATACTTGTTAATAATGATTTATTAATAACAGCCTAATAAACAAGTTATTAAATAATGGAAAAAGCAAGTATCACCTGTGGAAGTAATAGTTATTACTATATGACTATATGACTGTTCTGTTCCTAGTAGACTTAATCCCATGGTTTTAGCATCTATCAGTGATCCTTGCCTGAATCAATTATTACTACAGTGATTGCAAAATGATGGTATTTTAATTGTATCATCCTTCTATAAAAAAGAGCTTTCCTTTCTTACCCTCCCTCTTTTTATTCTTTATGTGATTTTTATACATCAGTTTGGACTCAAGTTCTTTTTCTGTTTTTGTGAATTTTTTATTCAATGTGTCATAATCTATTGCTGTCATTATTTAACACCAAAATAGTCCCAAATTTGGTGAGATGGAATCCCTTCAAACTGAGTCCTGTGTTCTGTGGGCATGTTCCTATACGTTTTTGAGCACTTCTTTACTTTCTAGCACAACATGGCCCAAGTACACCCTGTACTTTACAAAATAACTTAGGGAGAATCAACATCTTCATGCATGTATCTATTCTTCTTTAATTTCTTTTTTTATTATTACACAAATAGTAGCATGCGCTACATACTCAATTCCATATTAATGGACATTTAGATTGTTTAAATATTTTGCTGTAACCAAAGTACTACAAAAATAACCTTGAGCCAACGTAATTTAGCATTTAGTTTTTATTAATTTGCCAACAAGTGATTCACTTTATAGCATGCCAGTTTTTTATTTGAAACTGTTTTTGGAAGGACAATCATGGCATCCAATTCAAATTCAACTATGGGGGGGCACACCTCATCCACAAGGGTGCCTGCATAATGAACATTTGTATACCTAACCCTGAATTGTACCCCACATCTTTAAAATAAAAAATTTATTTAAAGAGAAAATATTCAAATAAACTTGGAATACAATGGAAGAAAAATTCAGCTATAGTTATAATTTAGTGACAATGTTATTTCACCCTGACTCAGCTATTCTTATTTTGTTCATTAATGTGTTCATTTATTCAACAAATATTTGGTTAATCTAATATACAAGGAACACCCCCAAAAAATCAGAATTATTTTTTTGGGAGTGCAGGGCCCTTGTAGCACAGGCTTCCTTCACTAGGTAAGTGTTCTAGGAACTCATCAGCGTCAGTGTACAAGCTAATGATATTGTGAGAGGCTGTGTTCAGCTTCAGTTAATTTGTGTGTGTGTGTGTGTGTGTGTGTGTGTGTGTGTGTGTGTGTGTGTAGATTCTTTCACCATGTTTGCCTATTTCATGATGGGTGATTCACATGAACAACCTGCTCATACCTCACTGAGCATTCAGGAGTTTTTGACCAAAAAACAGCATGACCTCCGTGCCCTACCCTCCCTATTCACCTGATCTCTTCCTGAACAACCTTTTTTTTTTGGTTAGTTTCCCCAAATGAAAAAAGTCTTCAAAGGGAAACGTTTTGCTGATGTGGAAGAAGTGAATCAAAAAGCGGCAGAAGCACTAAGGGGCAAAAAAATAGAGGTGTTCAAAAACTGTGTCTTGATAGGTATATTGCATCAAATGAAGAATACTTTTAAGGTGACTGAAGTTTAAACATATAAGAATAAACACACATTTTTAAATACATAAATTCCAGAAGTTTTTTTGGTCACCCCTAGTATATCAGGCACTATGTTGGACACCAAAAAACTGAGGTGAACAAAACAGGATCCTGACTTTAAAGTTAAGTCTGGTGGAGTTCAGGTAACCAAGAAATTATAGTATAGTAAAAGAAATGTATCACTATACATTTATTTAATAGATTAAAAATTCATCTTTCATCATGCATACATGATGATGAAAATATACAATTGTATAACCACTCTAGAAAATAGTTTGGCAGTTTCTTAAAAAATTAAATATGCACTTGCCATATGACCTAGCAAATGTACTCTTGGGCACTTATTCCAGAGAAATGAAAACTTATGTTCACATAAAACCTGCAAATGAATGTGCATAGCAGTAGCTTTATTCATAATAGCCAAAAACTGGAAACAACTAAAATGTCCTTCAGTGACGGAATGTTTAAACAAACTGTGGTACATCCATAACAAGGAATAGGTATCTATAAAAGGAAAGAACGACTGATACATGTAACAGCTTAGATCTCCAGGGAATGATGCTCAGTGGGAAAAAAGCCAATCCAAAATATTACATACTGTATGATTCCATTTATATAGCATTCTTGTATAGGGATGGGAACAGGTTAGTGGTTGCCAGTGATTAGGGACATGGTGAGGAAGACCAGTGTGATTCTAAAGGAGTAGCTCATGGGGGTCTCATGGTGATAGTTCTGTGCCTTATGTTCTGGTAATACATATGATAAAATGGCATAGAAGCACACACACACACACACACACACACACACACACACACATACACACGAGTGTATGTAAAACTGTGAAATTTGAATAAGCTCTTCAGATTTTACCAATGTCAATTTTCTGGCTTTGATGTTTGTAGTTACAGTTATGCAAGATGTTACCATGAGGGAAGTCCTGGAGGGAAACACAGGACTTCGTGGACATTTTTTGCAACTTTGTGTTCATCTATAATTGTTTCCCTTGAAAAACTCCCTTTTTGATATATTTACTGCAAATTTCTTTTACCCCCAAAATACAAACGACAACCACCACTTAATGTCACTTTGAGTTTAGGGATTAATTTCAAAATTTCAATGTCTTAGCAGCTTATTTGAATGTTTTTCAGAAAGTATAAAAAATATACAATATATTCTCAAGTTACTAAAGGGATTATTTTTAGAAGAAATTCAACAACAGGAAATTTGTCCTAAAGCAGTTGTTTTAAAATTAGCAAAAATAAGCAGACACATTTATTGAGCTTACTCTAATCAGCCATAAGTTTGAAATGGTGACAGGCACCCAGACAGCAATCCATTTCTACATGTATGAGTATTTCCTTCTCAAGACACTCCAGTAGATTCCTTTCACATGCTGAGGTGACTTCTGCCTCCTCTTCAGATTTGTAACAAGCCAATTCTTCTCAAAACTCAGGATGGTATTCCAGTGAACCCATGGACCAAGGACTCTATTTTGTGAAAATGAACCACTGACTTCAACACTATTAAATAATAAATTCTCTTCTGGTGCATATCTACTCAGATACCTCCACAGATGTCATCAGTATTTACCTTCTGTGTCTCCACAAGCCTGAGTCGGGTGTGCAGAAGGTATCTCTCAGTGTGGAGAATGGCAGATAGGTCCAACCACTAAAGATTGAACTTTCTTGGTGGCAGGAGCCTAAATTCATCACCTAATGCACAAATATCCTCATCCACACTTTTGTAGAGAAAATATCCAGGGAGCCTTTCATTTTGGCAAAGTGTTGGAGCAGTATTTGTCAACGTTTCTAGAATTCCAGTTTAATGAGAGGTTACCAGTGTAGTGTTTAATAACGGAAATACTAGCCATACTTTTTCATTACAGAGTTATCTTCCGATAGATAGGTAAGAAAAATACTGAACACATCTGCACAGCTGTTACAGTTTGGTGATGCTTCTCTAAGCTCTGAGGTGTCTATCCAGTCCCTCCAGAAAATCACTTGGGAGGACACCTGTTGCCTGAACTCAGAGATCCACCTGCCTCCCACTGGTTCATTGGAGCAAAGGGCGGAGCAAGTGAAGTGATCCCTCTCTTCTTCCTTTGAAAGCCAATCCAAAATTGGCTTCTCTATATCTATGCCAAAGTCTCATCATCCAAGAGTTGTTTGTTCCAGAAAAAGTGAGATGACACTCCTACTTAAATTGTCCTACAATGGCCTCTATCTTTCAACAGAGGAAGGTCAGTTGTCATATTCCATAGAGGTCCTCATATCCATAAAAATCAGAGTAGCATTACATTTTTTCATTAACTTAGGATTTACTAGGTACCTTCCATTAGCCAGGTGCAGTGAGAAGCGTTAGGGATACATTTTTTAAAAAAAGAAAATTGTATATGATTTCTTATAATAAAGTATATTGTTATAGTAATAGTTTGATTGATGACCATATCCTAGACCTTAGTCTAAGCAACATTCATGGATCATCTCATTTAATTCCTATATCCACCCTATAAAGTTGGTACTGTTATCATTCTTTATGGATAAAGGATATCTTATACAGATAAAGCAACCGAGCTTAAGTAATTTCCCCCAGGTCAGTACCTGGTGGAGCTGTAGTCTGAATCCAGAGCCTGAATTCTTGCAGATAATCATGTTCTTAAGAAGCACAGTTTCCCACGAGGTTTGATCTGTAGTGTACTAAGATTTCCCAAGTTATCGTATGTATTGTATCATCTCCCAATTAAAATTTGACCTATCCAAAAGAATTTTCTGCCACAATGAAAATGTTCTTTTCTGCACTGTCCAGAAGGATAGTCTCATCCTAATTTAAATTTAAAAGGCCTCAAGTGGCTCGTGCCTACAGTATTAAACAACACAGGTCTAAAGATAAGGAAATGGTTGCATTTCTTCTGATTTCTCTATAAAGTCTAGACTTAGGCAAATCAGTAAATGCTCAGTGAATGAAAAAGAATGAAACAAAGAATCTTCAAGGAAAAAATTTTACCCCCTAACCTGGGACCGGGGCTAGAAGTCTTCACTGTGTCAGGACTTTCCCTGTAATAAAATGTCACATTTAACATATGACACAGGATGCAGGGCTAGCCGTGAAGTGGGGAAGGAAGGGGATTCTTAAATTACTTGCATTGTTTGTGAAAGACTGACATTGTATAATTGATGACCATTACTTTTAAAATACTCAGTTATGGGTATCTTTGTCTTGCAAAAAAGATCACTGCTTAATTGCTTCTTGACAAAACACGGGGTCTGTAAAAAGAAAAGCCAAAGGGGCTCTTGGTCGTGACATGACGGGAAACAAGGAGACACTGCAACTCCATGGACTTTTCCTGCAGAAACACATTCAAAACTTGTAAATTTTGTTCAAGAGTAACTGCCACATTCTCCTAAGTGACTTCATCCTGCTACTTCGACATCTTGTATGTACATATACATTCCTATAATCAAGCAGTTCTGAATTTGGGACAAAATGTCGTGAATCGTGAGAGGAAGCAACCAAGCAAACACGCGGTGGGTGTTTCCCCATCCCAGGGCAGTGTGGCACCCATACTGCTCAACACCCAAACTCCAGTTTTCTTAAAAGAATATCTCAACAACAACAAAAATCATAGCTGTTTGTTCATAATTTGTCCTTGCCCTGGAACATATTTTTCTTTGGCCTGATATTTAATAACGTTAGATTTCAAAATCGTAAAAGTACTCATCAAAAAAGTGTCAAAGCAGCTCAGTTTCTCTGGAAATCTCAAGCCATGTTCTTTTGATATAATGAAATCAGCTCTTAATATTTTAGGAACCTAATTTTCCCTTGCTAAATGCTAAATAATTTACAAATAACAACGCCTAAAGAAAAAAAAACCCCTCCCCAATTCTTCACATTCAAACCCAAAAGACATCAACCCGGGGTCCAAATGAACACAGGCTCAGGGCAGAACTGGGCGATTTTCCATCTTGCAAGCTAGCATCAGGTGACCACTGCGACCGAAAGGCCAGAGTCGCCACTGGGTACGGGCCCGACCCCGCTTCCAGAGAGGCCGCTCCAACTCGAGCAGCACCGACCACGCGCAGGAGGCCGCTATCTAGGGCGGAGCGGCCTGACACGCTGTTAGCGGACCGGCCGCAGGCTCTTCCTGGGGAGGTCTGCCGGGTGCCAGGGCGAGCCCCACGGCCAGATCCCCCCAGTCACCCCGCAGTGCTGGTCGCGGGGCTGCGAGGGCCCCTCCGCGCCCCAAGGCGCCCTCGGGCGTCTGCCCGGGGTCGGCTGGAGGGCCACGGCCGCGTCCCTGTCGCGGCAGCGACTGCAGCTCGGCAGCGTCCAGGATGTCGTGCCGGGGGAGGGAGAGATGGCGGGCC